ATAGTTGATCTAGCTCATAGGGCAGCATTGCACATTGGGCATGACATAGCATCACATTCAAGGGCTATATGCATAAGTGTAGGTGTATGGTTGCATGGGGTGATCAACACCAACATTGGTGCTTGATGGTGGGCTCGGGAAAGTGGGATGGAACGTCCTACGGAGTTGCACGGTGACATGCATAAGAAAACTTGTGTCGGGTATAGCAAGTAGGGCTAGACACTCCCTCGGGTGAAAAACCCAGCCACTTGGTTCAGATACTTACCGGCGGTGAAACTCCAGAAAAGTGTAACGGCGTACGGAGTCGGATGTGCGATTCCTAAATCCGATACCCAATAAAGGCACATGATTTTGATATATAAATTATTCATTTGATGGAAAACATCCAAGAATGAATTGGTTTTTTGACATATGGTTGATTTCAAAATGATCTTTGGATGTGTTTCATCAAAGACGTTTGTTTTACATGTAAGTGTAGCATTATGTTGTGGGAGTCGGTGTGGGCTCGGAATAGCATGCATGAGTGAGTTTCATCACATTACTTGGCATGACATCATGATTTTCCAACATTGTATTGTATGTTATTGTTGGAGGGAATACTTGTTGTGAAATGTTGCATGTATACATTGCATATGCATTTTAGGTGATGAGTAGCCTCTGTAGAGATTATTCTACTGGGCATTGGCTCACCCTATACGGGAAACATTTCAGGTGTGGGTCATGCGCCAGTGGACGGCTCACAATCAGGGTCACATGGTTGAAGAAAAGTCGACTTGTGGCTTCCAATCCATTTTTTTTTGTAAAAGTAGATTTGTAATTAAATTTTGGCATGTAATGTGTAAAGGAATTGTAATAGAGTCTATATGGACTATTTAATATAACATTGCATATTTCGATATAAATATGATGACTGAACCCGGTATGGTCAAGGTTTACTTATAAATGGACCCTGTGTGGTTATGGTATTATATGGGATCTCGAATGGGTCATGTAAATATTGATTGCACAGATTGTGTTTTGGGGTAGAACTTCCCGTACAAAGGAGACTCTGCCCGAGTTATTCGATGAAAAATTAACGAACTCCATTATTTTGGGGTGTCACAGGTTTCTTGATTCCAGGGCAAGCAACCATTTGTGTGGCAAGAAACATATGTTTGTAGAACTTGATGAAGTAGCACAAGGCAAAATTACTTTTGGTGACTCTTCCGACATTCTGGTGAAAGGCAAAGGTAAAATTCTTATTAAGCTCAAGAATGACAATCATGATTTTATTTTCGATGTCTATTATGTGCCAGATATGAAGAATAGTATTTTGAGTCTAGGACAACTTTTAGAAAAGGGTTATGATATTAGAATGAAGAATCTTCACGTTACAATTAAAGATGCTTGTGGTAATTTGATTGCTAATGTGGAAATATCCAAGAATAGAATGTTTTCTTTTGAATATTCAACATAATGCTATGAGATGTTTGAATGCTATTATTAAAGATGACTCTTGGTTGTGGCACTTGAGACTTGGACATCTTAATTTTGGTGGCTTGAAGCTTTTATCTAGTAAAAAAATGGTGAAGAATCTACCGTACATAGATCATCCGGATGAGTTATGTGAAGGGTATATTCTTGGCAAGCATCATAGATTAAGCTTCTCAAGAGAAGTCAAGTGGAGAACATCATGACTATTGGAGTTTGTGCACACCGATATTTGTGGTCCTTTGAAGCCAATGTCGAATGATAAGAATTGCTACTTTCTTACTTTTATTGATGACTATAGTTGGAAGACTTCGGTGTATTTTTTAAGAAGGAAGTCTGAAGTGTTTGATGTTTTTAAGGAGTTCAAGAATCTTATTGAGAAGCAAAGTGGCTATTTTATTAAGAGGTTGAGATCCAATCAAGGTGGTGAATATAATTCTGATTTATTTGAAGACTATTGCAAGGAACATGGAATTGTGCATCAATTCACACCAACCTACAAACTTCAATTGAATGGAGTTGTAGAAAGGAAAAATAGGACTATTCTTGATATGGCTAGAAGCATGTTGAAAAGAAAAAGATTGCCTAGAGAATTTTGGGCCAAAGCTATAGCATGTGCAATGTACTTGTTGAATCGATGTCCAACCAAAAGTGTTCGTTTCAAGACCCCAGAGGAAGCTTGGTGTTCATTCAAGCCAAGTGTAGCCCATCTTAGAGTTTTTGGATGCATTGCTTATGCGAAGATTCCCGAAGCAAGGAGGATAAAACTTGATGATAAAGGTGAAAAGTGCATTTTTCTTGGGTATGGTGATAGAACAATGGGGTACAAGTTATACAACCCCATTACCAAGAAAGTGATCATGACTAGAGATGTAATCTTTGAAGAGGAAGACATGTAAGATTGGAAAGAAAAAATTTTAGCCACCGAAGTGGAACTTATGCCTGAAGAAGAAGAGTCCAAAGAACCAAGGGAAGTCCAAAAAGAGCCACAAACAGCTCCACATGGATCCTCCTCACTTTCTACAAGTGAATCATCATCAACATCATCATCTTCATCATTGGATTCAAGTTCAAGTGAAAGACCAAGAAAAATGAGAAGTTTGCAAGAGATTTATGAATCTACGAAAAATTTTGAAGGTAACTTGAATTTGTTTTGTTTGTTCATGGATTGTGATCCTTTATGTTTTGAAGAAGCGGTTCAAGAAGAGAAATGGATAATAGCAATGGATGAAGAAATGAAGGCAATTGAAAAGAATGATACATGAACACTAGTTAATCTTCCCCAAGGTCATAAAGCAATTGGTGTGAAATGGGTATCTAAAACCAAGAAGGATGCAAATGGTGAAGTCCAAAGATACAAGGTGAGGTTAATTGCTAAAGGTTATAAGCAAAGGGCCGGAATTGATTATGACGAGGTATTTGCTCCCGTTGCACATTTGGAAACCATTAGGTTGATGATTTCTTTGGCATCACAAAACGAGTGGAAGATTTACCAACTTGAAGTGAAATCAGCATTTTTGAATAGATTTCTTGAGGAGCAGATTTATGTTGAACAACATTTGGGGTATGTGAAAAAGAGACATGAAGGTAAAGTATACAAATTGAGAAAAGCTCTCTATGGATTAAACCAAGCACCGCGCGCATGGAATGCTAGAATTGACAAATACTTTTGTGAGAATGGTTTTCAAAAATGTCCTTATGAGCATGCATTTTATATGAAGATGGATGGCAATGGAAGTGTGCTACTTGTTTGCCTTTATGTTGATGACTTGATCTTCACCGACAATAATCCAATGATGTTTGATGGATTCAAGAGAAGTATGATTAAAGAGTTTGAAATGACTGATATTGGCTTAATGTCTCATTTCCTTGGCATTGAGGTTAAGCAAAGTGAAGATAGAATTTTTATTTCTCAAAGTAGTTATGCAAAGGAAGTTCATGATGGATTCTTGCAACCCGGTGAACACACCCGTAGAAATTGGATTGGAATTGAGAAAGAGCATTAGTGGTGGAAATGTTGATCCAAGTTACTTCAAAAGTTTAGTTGGAAGTCTTTGGTACCTTACTTGCATGAGGCCGAACATTCTTTATGGAGTTGGTTTGGTTAGCTGATACATGGAAACACCGGATCAAACTCATCTTAATGTGACGAAGAGGATTTTATGTTATATTAGAGGTACACTCAATGATGGCTTATTTTATTCTTGCACTAATGATTTTAGACTTGTTGGATATTCGGATAGTGATTGGGGATGAGACTTGGATGAAAGGAAAAGTACCTCGGGTTATTGTTTTTTCATTAGAGATACGGCTTTTACTTGATCATCCAAGAAGCAAGCAATTGTTACTTTGTATAAGTGTGAAGCGGAGTATGTGGCTGCAAATTCAACAGTGTGTCATGCTATTTGGTTGAGGAATTTGTTGAATTATTTGAGATTTTCTCAAGAAATTCCCTAGGAAACCCTTGTTGATAATAGATCGGCGATGGCGTTGGCAAAGAACCCGGTATTCCATGAGAGGAGTAAACACATTAATACGCGCTACCATTTTATTGGAGAGCATGTGAAGAATGGAGAAGTGAAGTTGGTGTATTGCAAGACTCAAGATCAAATTGCCGACATTTTTACAAAACCATTAAAGCATGATGTGTTTGGAAGATTGAAAATGATGCTAGGCATGAGAACCCAAGGAATTGAGTTTAAGGGGGGATGTTAGTTTTTATAAACTCAATTTTTAAAAGGTAGGTTGTGTATTTTTGGGTTTATGATGTAATATTGAAAAGTTGTGGTGTTAGACGGTATTTAAGCATGTTTTGGCGCTTTTGTGTATTTGAAGAAGTAGTCACTAGAAGGGTCCATATTTTTGGAGGTCTGTGCATGTTCTTGGGAGGCTTGTTCATGCATGACTACATGGGAATTCAAACAGTTTTTGCTTGGAGGCAGTCAGCCATGAAGTGGCCAGATTCAAGGTGTTTTGGCTAGGAAAAATTAGTATAAAAGGAAAGGAGTTGCTGTCCAAAACAGTGGGAGTGTATCTGCAGAAAATACAGAGAGAAAGAGAGTAAAAAAAAATCTGTTTTGCTGCCAAAAAAATCGCAGCAGGCTGTTCATGAGCAGAAGCTCTATTCCTTTTGTATTTCTTGGGTGTTTTTTGCTAAAAAAATTCAGATAAGTTATCCCCTTTGTATTCCTTGATATTGTGATCATTTTGATGAAATATAGAGGTGTTTTTTGAGTAAAATTGGTGTGGATGTATAGCAGATTTTTGTCCTCTGTTTTACTTGATTTTGTGTTCCTTTTGTAATCTATTTTGCTTCCAATACCCAACACCTCTCTCTCTCTCTCTCTCTCTTGTGTGTCTATGTAAAAACAAATTTTAAGGTGTAGAAATACTATTAAATTATTATTTGTTGACCCGAGACTTGAAAATTTTGTGATTTTGAAGATAACAAACTTTACAAGGTGGACTATTACTTGTACTAAGTGCGTAGACAAGGTTAGATGTAAAAAGAATGATTAAACAGAAAAGAAATGAAAATGGTGTGAAAAGGGAAAAGGTAAAAATATCATCAAGAACCTCATCTAAAAGACCGGATGCTAAATCTGGAATGCCAGTTGCAAGTGGCAAGAGCATGTCAGATGGGCATGCTAGAGGTAGGCAGCCTAGGCGTGTGGCTTGGAGATCGTCAGGCATCCGGAAGTTCAGATGTGTCATCTGGAAGACTAGGAGGCATGTTGGATGACACAAATGGCTTGCCGAATAAGTGTGGTAGACAGGTAAGCACAACATGCATCCGGAAGACTATTGGAAGCATGCCAGATGCTGATCCGGACAACATTCAAAACCTTCTGGAATTTGCTATGTGATGCATGGGAATGATTGAGGTTGAACAACACATGAAAAATAAAGAGAATAAGTTATCTAGAATGTCGGATATAACCTAACGGCTTGTAACGGTCATATCTGGTAGCCTATATAGCCTGCTGGATGGTCCTCCAGATGCTGTTGGGATTTAAAAAATTATATTTGTTGGCTCTTGTTTTGGACTACAAATATAAATAGAAGAGCAAGGAATTTAAGCGTTGATTTTTTTCAAGCATTTTCAAGAGTTATGCTTTGAGGAATTCATTTTACAATGAGTTTGAAAGCCATATTGTGATAAACCAATTCCCTTGAGTGATCTTTGTATTGTAAATAAATCTTGAAAAAGATAGAGTGAGCTGTGCAATATTCTTGAGTGTGTTGCAGAGAGAAATTCTACTGGTATCAAGAAGAAGGCTATTGTAAAGGGTTTTGATGCTCACCCATTGAAGAGATTCAAGCTAAGTGAAGGGGAATTCCAAGGGAAAGAAGGAGATAGGACGTAGGCCAAAGTGCTAGGGGCCAAACCTCTATAAATCTTGTGTTTGCTTCTCTCTTTCTTACTCTCATATTAATTGTCTGTATTCATATTCATTGCACATCCTATATTCACACATATACATTTAATTAAAGCAGTTTCACACATAGTGAAATTGATCTTTAAGTTGCTATTAATTGAGAAAACCTAATTCAACATTGAAGATAGATACACAAAACCTACAAAAGATAAGAAAGAGTGGACTAGCAATGAAAAGAAGGCACACACTAGCAATAACGAGGCAATGAATACATTATATTGTGCATTGGACATGAGTGAATTTAATTGCATATTCACATGTGAAACCCCTAGAGAAATATGACATAATATGCTTGAAGTCGCACATGAGGGAACTAGTAAAGTTAAGGAATCCAAAATAAATATGTTTGCACATGACCATGAGCTATTTAAGATGGAACCCCATGAGAGCATATCACAAATGTTCACATATTTTACTAACATTATTAACGCTCTTAAATATCTCGGTAGATCCTATGCCGATGAGGAACTTGTGAGAAAAAATCTTAGGTGTCGTCCATGATCATAAGATGCTAAAGTGATTGTCATTATTAAAGTAAAGGATCTAAAAGCACTTCCTCTTGAAGAACTTCTTGGCTTCTTTATGACTTATGAATAAGCATTAAAGAGATGAAGAGCTAGAGAAAAAGGAAATGAAAAAATAGCATTCAAGTCAACCAAAACTTCAAATGAAGAGAATGATGATGTAAAGGACGATAGTGATGAAGAACTCGTATTCATCACAAGAAAATTCAAAAGGTTCTTCAAGAATCAAGGTCCATTTCGAAGAGGTGAAAATTCAAAGAAAAATGAAATCATTTTCTATGAGTGGAACAAGCCCAGACACATCAAGAAAAATTGTCCCTCATTAAGAAATCTTACAAAAAGGACAAGAAGGTTGCAATGAAGGAAACTTTGAGTGATAGTGATGATAGTGACTCCGATCATAAAGAAAATAATGATATAACAAATCTAAGCTGCATGGGCTTAGGGGGAAATGAAGATGTGAAATCTCAATCAAATGAGCCAAACGAATTATCTTATAATGATATGTATAATATCATGCATGACTTGCATAAGGATTTGCTTGATATTACCAAGAGACATAAGGATCTCAAAAAGAAGCTCACTGTTTTGTCAAATGAAAATTGCATTTTGAAACTTGAAAATGAGAAACTCAAGATTCAAAATATATCTTTGAAAAAGGAGACTCTTAACCCTTCCTTAATTAAAAATTTTAAAATTGAAAATAGTGAGTTGAAAACAAAGAATTGTGATCTAAGAAAAATTGTTTCAAAATTCACTCAAGGAAATGAAAAATTGGAGAAACTATTATCAAATCAAAGATGTATTTTTGACAAGGCAAAACTAAGATTCAACAATGACTAAAATCAAAAAGCTTACAAAAAATTATTTGTTAAGGAATCAAAGTCAAGTATCTCAACTAAAATATGTTATTACTGTTATAAAATAGGACACTTAGCTTAAAATTGTTTTGCTAGAAGATTCTAACAAAATAGATTCATGAGTAAATCATACACTAACTATCAAGGAACCAAAACTAAATGAGTACCAAAGACAAATCCTTGAATTACATGTGCAGGTATGTTTCAAGTCCACCCACAAAGCCAACTAGTGATTCCTTGATAGTGGATACTCAAGATACATAACGGGTGATATTCCAAAATTTGTACAACTATCAAAGGAAGATGGTAGATATGTGACCTTTGGGGGCAATGCCAAAGTAAAAATTGTTGGAATTGATAATGTGGGTAACAAAGCTTTACCAGATTGAAAATGTGCTTCTTGTTGATGACTTGAAACATAACCTACATAGTATTAGCTAATTAAGTGATAGTGATTGATAGCTCTTAAAAGTGGTAAATTTGAAATTGCTTCCCAAGCGTAGGAAAATTAATCATGTAATAACTTGAAAAATACTGAGGTCATCACCACAAGGAAACAAGGACAAATTCGAATGGAGATATGATTTAAATTACCAAAAATAAAATCTTTTGATTTTCAAAGATGATGAAAATTAGTAAAAACTAAAAAATAATATTAAAATAAACCGGATAATCTTCTAATTTCATCCCACCATGAATAAGAATTTTGACCCAATTTATAACTTGTACAAGACTATAATCAAACTCACTTAGACGGAGAATATTCAATAAAATTCAGAATTTAGAAAATATTACTTTGATAAGAAAACTAATTTATGAAAGAATTGGTACCATGTTGATTGTAGGGACTCTATAAATTACGCATGTTAAATTCAATTGTCTACCGATAATCAAAGTTGTTTACAAATCACCTATGTGTTCAAATTTAATTGTTTCAATCAACAAAATAATACTAAACATTAAAATCCTATCAAGGTCAAAATCACCCATTCACGGATAAGAATCCCTCATCCGATTATGTCGGAACTAAATTACTCACACATAGCGCATATGAAATTAAAAACAAATATGAAAACATAGCAATTGAAAAGAAAAAAAATTAATGTTGAAAGCAATATTAAATTCAATTCTTCCTATCTAAACAAGAACAAAAGATTAATGTAAATAAGAAATTGAACGTACTCTGTAATTAAACTAAACAAGAAGACAAGTAAATAAACCTACTCTATGCTTTGTTGAAAAAAATGAAAAATAAACCCTAGAAGAATAATGATGACGAAGAGCCCCTGAAAAAATGTTATAAGAAGAGCTCCCCATAGAAGAAAATGTTAAAAAAAGATGAAGAAGAGAATGCTAGGATCCTCCCTTATTCCTACTTAAAAAGGAACGATTGAGAGAGAGTGAGAGAGAGATACTCTCATTCCTTCTTTACATCACTCTCTCTGATTTCTAGAAAATCTCCAAAAATATTTGTAAGATTTGGCCAGCAAAAGTCTTCAAATAGGACTCCTTGTTGAACTTTAACTCTGATGAATCAGTACAACAGCAAGGGATAAACATGTACAAACACCTTCTGTCCAAGATCTACTGGTAGCAAAAATAGTAATGACCCGGTAGACAACTTTTTGTTTTGAATGAATTGGTACCAGCCTATTTGTTTCATGTTGAACCAGTACAACTACTACCAATTCTAAATTGAATTTACCCTATGCAATAAGCTGTTAAATTTTTTCTAATAAAATTAATAAGAAAACACACAATTTACTAATAAAACATAACTTGACTAAAATGAAATATATAATTAATAAGCAAAGCTAAGATGGTTGGTTTAAGACATAAGATTATGCAAAATTGTATACTCAATACACCCCCAACTTAGACTTTACTAGTCTCTTACAAACGCAAAATACAAAATAAAATCACAAAACCACTTTAGTAGGTGATTATGATTGAATTTACCCTATGCAATAAGCCGTTAAATTCCTAGTAGCCTAGTTTTGTTTCATGAAGGTTTCCAGCGAAGATACCTCTAAAATTTATTTTATTTATGAGCAAATTTGGAACATATTATTATTTCCTAATTAATAATGAAATTTAAGAAAAATTCATCATCCACTCAAATTATTCACATAAATGCTAAAATGTAGAATTAAATGTCATGTAAGAGTATAAACATTCATATTAGCATCGTGTGTGTGAGAGATGATCATTAAATTCAATGTTAGTTTTGATGCAAATCCACATCTCTATTAGTTATCCAACATTAGTTTTGATGCAAATCTCACTGAGGTTGCATTCTTAGAATAGAAAACACTTGATTCGAGTAACTACTTCACTTATAAATTATATAGGATGAGAGAAAATACAAAATCAAAAGAAGAATTTAACTCATATTTTTAAATGAAGAACTTCATTCACATGAAATGACCTTGGCATAATCTCATGAAAATAATGTTAGAGAAAATATAAACCCTCACATTTTTCTCTTTATATAGCAACATAATTATGTTTTGAAATGCTAATATATGTGACGATGTATGCACGAACTACGTAGATGGTAAGAGTAGAAATAAAAATGTTAGTTGAGGTAATAGGGTATGAATTGGAAGTTAGGAAATAGTCCGGAGTTCAAACACATTTCAGATAAAATTTGGGTAGATAGGATTTTGGACACTGATTAGTATTTGGATCATAAAGTTTTACCTTGATGTCCGTTTGAGCTAAAATTTTTATAGTGGATAGTAGACTTCTAGGGCTACAAAACTATATTTCACAAAAACTTTCCAAATCAAGCACTAAATAGGCCAAAACTTCACTAGAACTTTCCGCAGAAACAAGAAATTCGTTTGAACGTGAAAGTACGTTCGAACGACCTACGTTCGAACATGAAAGTCCGTTTGAACGCCAACCGTTCAAATGTGAAAGTACATTTGAACGAAAGTTCGTTCCAATACTGTGTCTCTGATGAAAAAACAAAGGTACTGATAGTAACTAACGTTTGAACGCCAATGACGTTCGAACATGAGCGACGAATTAGAGTATC